AATATTCACTAATTTGAAAATTTTACGTAAATGAAATTTGTGTGAAGGTTAGACAAAGAATATTAAGAGTTCAAGTTGGAAAAATTTAGATTTAGAAATGATGGAAAGCATTGGTTTTGGTAACAGAGTTGCGGATGAGTTTAAAGACCACCGGAATAGGTTAGACAAATGCATGAGTGGGTATGAGTTGGACTTGCTTAGCTTGGGCCAGTAAGCCTGCTGCAGAGCTTCTTTTATATGTTCTTATAACTCAGACCTGATCAGAAAAAGATACCAGCATTAAGTGCTGTTGAGAGAAAACCTCTGAGTACATCCCGTCTCTTCCCTCAACAATGGAACCTCAGCTGGAAAACGTGAGGTGGAAAAACAATGAACAGCTAAGATGCACAAACCTGGTTGTTACGTGGTTGTTACAGACTTCAGGACTGGACAGTCTTCAAGTCTTACAAGACTTCAGGACTGGACAGTCCTGAAGTCTTACAAGACTTCAGGACTGGACAGTTTTGAAGTCTTATAGAGTTCTGATTTCAATACAGGAAAGTCAACAAAAATATGGGAAAGGTGAAGGGGCAAGAAGAAGAGATAAAGATCAGGTCAAGTCACGAGTGTCTTGAAGCCTAGAGCATCTGACAACGTAATGAGAAAGGAAGACATCTGGTATGATTCATACCAGGAATGTTGTGTATCAGGGATGTTTTAATACGAAGTCTGCAAAGGCTATTAGAACGGTAGACAGTTTTGGCAGAGGACCAGTTAACAGGATGAATTTGATCTCTAATATGACAAAAGAGAACATTATTAGTGTCGGTAAGCAAAACACATCTTTTGTACTCTTTAAGTCTGTCAATAAGAGAAAGGCCAAATTCTTCAAAGTGTCGGAGCAGTAAATGAAGGAGACTCTGAAAGCATCAAAATGCCTGATTCGATCGGCTTCAACTTTTCTACACAGGATCACTGTACAGGGGAAAATGTTCATGTAACTATTGGCGTGTGTAGGTACGATGTGGTCCAAGTCAGACCGAAACGTCGTCGTAAGCTCCTCTCTTCTATGTGCGAGTTATTTGTGTATCTTTCCAGTTACGGTATTGTGCCTTTTTTGTGATTTAAGAGAAAACTTGCTTTGATCTGCTTTAAATGTTCGACGCTGGTGTAGCCTGTGCTACTGCAATGTGTAGGCAGCAATCGCAAATTTACTTAAAAAAAATGTTGTAATATTTCCCGTGAAATATTTCGACTAAATTTCCATTGATCTCACAGAGTGCATCATCACTAATGTTTTAAAGAAATTCTGAAGAAATATTCTTTAGTTATTGAATAAAAATGAATATCACTGTGTATTCAATAAGAGAGGCTAACAGGCTAACTGGGACTAAAGTCACCCATTATCAGCGTCATCCTTGACTTTGTTTCCAAAGATGCCTCGGTGCACCACCCGACCTTTTCTCCCTCGTCAATTTTATTGTTCACCTCATCTTAGATAGACTCATACACTGGCCATACATCGACATTCAGACATCTGAACTCCTTCACTTTTTCCATACTCCTTCTTTCCAATCTCTTTGACTACTTAACTTTTTTGTTACTCTTATCACCATTTACCGATGTCCTTATTCACAAAGTGGATAACATCCTTAAATTCCAAGTTAACGGAAAGCCTACAAATGAAAACGATCCCACATATTTCTATCCCAGCCAAAATAGGAAGACCAAACGAGGCATCATCAACGGATTTTTCTTAAGAGCACACTGAATGTGTAAGCTAGAGTTTCTTGACGAGGAATGTGCATACATATACCAAACCTTCACAGAGCTACAATTTTCTTCCTTTATTTCCTCAAGAAATAAAGTCCTAATCCTTCCCAACAGCCAAGTTGCCTTAAAACGTTTCGAAAGTACTTGCACAAACCAATACTAGAGTCGCCATCGCAACCAGTACAAATTGAAGAACCTTGAATTAGTCAATGCAGGTGTTCACACAATCCCTTGCGGAGGTGTGACAAGGAATACGTCAGTGATACAGCATGCACCCTTCAAACATGTCACAACGAACATATCAATGCATGCAGAAACGACAACTTGAACAATGTATATGTGCAGCACGGAAATTCCTCCCACCATCTTACGAAATTCAGTGACGCATGCCTAGTGATCAAGGAAGCAAAGTTCCTCAGGCCTTGAGTCGTCTTTACTCGCTGTTTCAAAGACCATTAAACAAAATAAAGGTAGCTTCGAAATTTAGGAGGTATTAGCCAGAATTCTATTCAATAAACCCTGTCATCACATAGCAACCTAGAGTTACCTCCACTCATACTACTACTACTTCTGTAACTGCTACTGCTACTACTACAACAACTACTACTACTACCTGGTCTGGTACTGTCGACATTCTTCTGATGTGGTTCTTAAGTAGTTCTGAATCAAGCTTGACTTTTGCTACTGTGTCATCATTCTCAAGTCGCTACTCAGCCTCTCTCTTCCCCCGGTATATTCGTTTCTGGCTCCTCTGCTCGCTTCTCTGTTCTCAGCTATTCTTCGTTTTCAGCTCTTGTGCTCTTAGTTTTAACATCTTTGCATCTTTAACTGAACCAAGGGAGGGAGGAAGACTAGGAGGATGAGTTTCTCTTGTGGCTCCCGGTAATTCCTAGCTTGGTACTCTATGATCTCGTTCGGTGACTTTACTTCCAGTGTGTGTGCATGTGTGTGTGTGTGTGTGTGTGTGAGTACTCACCTAATTGTGGTTGCAGGGGTCGATTCATAGCTCCTGGCCCCGCCTCTTCACTGGTCGCTACTAGGTCACTCTCTCACTACTCCCTGAGCTTTATCATATCTCTTCTTAAATCTGTGTAAGGATCCTGCCTCCACTACATCACTATCCTGACTATTCCACTTCCTGACAACTCTATGACTGAAAAAATGCTTCCTGACATCCATGTGACTCAACTAAGTCATCAACTTGTAATAGTTGCTGTGTCCCACCTCTGGAACATCCTGTCTCTGTCACCCTGTCGATTCCTCTCATTATTTTATATGCCGTTATCATATTTCCCCAATCCCTCCTGTCCTCCAGTGTCGTCAAGTCGATTTCCCTTAACCTCTCCTCGTAGGACATACCCCTAAGCTCCGGGACTAATCTTGTTGTAAACCTTTACACTTTCTCTAGTTTCCTTACGTGCTTGGCTAGGTGTGGGCTCCTAACTGGTGCCGCATATTCCAATATGGGCCTAACGTACACAGTGTACAGAGTCTTGAACGATTCCTTACTGAGGTATCGGAATGTTAATCTTAGGTTTGCCAGGCCCCCATATGCTGTAACAGTTATCTAGTTGATGTGCGCCTCAGGAGATGTGCTCGGTATTATACTCACCCCAAGATCCTTTTCCTTGAGTGAGGTTTGCAGTTTTTGTGCCACATAGCCTATACTCTGAGGCCTTCTTTACCCTCCTTTGATGCTCTTGACTTTACATTTGGCGGGGTTAAATTCAAGGAGGCAGTTGCTGGACTTGGCTTGCAGCCTGTCCAGGTCTCTTTGTAGTCCTGCCTGATGGTCATCCGATTTAATTTTCCTCATTAACTTCGCATCATCTGCAAACAGGGACACTTCTGAGTCTATTCCTTCCGCCATATCATTCATATATATCAAAAACAGCACTGATCCTAGGACTGACCCCTGTGGAACCCCGCTAGTCACAGGCGCCCTCTCTGATACCTCGTCATGTACCATGACTCGTTGTTGCCTCCCTGTCAGGTATTCTCTAATCTACTGCAGTGCCTTTCCTGTTATGCATGTCTGATCCTCTAGCTTTTACACTTATCTCCTGTGAGGAACTGTGTCTAAGGCCTTCTTGCAGTCTAAGAAAATGCAATCTACCCACCCCTCTCTGTCATGTATTACTTCCGTTACCTTGACATAAAACTCTAGTAGGTTTGTGACACAGGATATCCCTTCCCTGTAACCATGCTGGTTGTCGTATATAAGATTGTTCCGTTCTAGGTGCTCCACCACTCTCCTCCTGATGATCTTCTCCATGACTCTGCATACTGTACACGTCAGTGACATTGGTCTGTAGTTTAATGCTTCGTGTCTGTCCCCTTACTTAAAAATTGGGACTACATTTGCCATCTTCCATACCTCAGATACTTGCTCAGCTTCAGTAGATGTGTTGAAGATTTTTGTTAGTGGCACACACAGTTTGTCTGCCCCCTCCCTAAGGACACACGGAGAGATGTTGTCCTGTGTGTGTGTGTGTGTGTGTGTGTGTGTGTGTGTGTGTGTGTGTGCGTGGGATGAAGGGGCATGGGTGAAGGTTGTAAGAGTTAAGCTCCGATCTCGCTGGTTATATAGATATCAATTAAAATCATACCTGTTAAGTAAGACACATAGGCAACATTTAGGCATCTTTATTCCGAAACGTGTCGCCTCCACAGTAGGCTTCCTCAGTCGAGTACAGAAAGTAGGCAGGAGCAGTAGAGATGTGAAGACGATGTAGTCAGTCCACCATGTGTCTTAATTAACTTGTCTGTATTATATGCCATTTTGATATTCACAAAATCATGCCTATTAAACAGTATTAAAAAGTGATAAATATAAACAGAAAATTCTAGAATTAATTACAAGAATGGATTTAGTCTTTCTTTCCTACTGACGGCAATGGCAGGTCACATGCTATCATAAAACAAATCTAACATTAATCATTAATCTTAAACTACCCAGATAAAATAAAATATATAACTTGAGGTGACAGGGAACGACAGAGTTTCAAGGACGGGGAGGTGAGGGGTCCCCAGCTGGACCTGTGGAGACAGTCGTGTCTGTTCAGCCCAGACTCAACGACACAACAGATGATGTCTTTTGTTTCTTGATCTGCTATAATGTTACGGTAAGAGTCAGGTGGGGAAGGTATTGCGGTGGGATAGAGTACTTAAAAAGGTTTGTGGTTAAAGAGGAAGAGAGGGATTTAAAAAGGTTAAGTGGTAAAAAAAATAGACTTGAATTGGCTCACCGGTCTACTCGCAAACTGCGCAGGTCCAACTTGCAGACTGCGTAGGTCCAACTTGCATACTGCGCAGGTCCAACTTGCAGACTGCGCAGGTCCAACTTGCATACTGCGCAGGTCCAACTTGCATACTGTGCAGGTCCAACTTGCATACTGCGCAGGTCCAACTTGCATACTGCGCAGGTCCAACTTGCAGACTGCGTAGGTCCAACTTGCATACTGCGTAGGTCCAACATGCATACTGCGCAGTCCAACTTGCAATACTGCGCAGGTCCAACTTGCATAACTGCGCAGGTCCAACTTGCATACTGCGCAGGTCCATCTTGCATACTGCGTAGTCCAAACTTGTCATACTGCGCAGGTCCGACTTGCTATACGGGCGCAGGATCAACTTGCATACTGCGCAGGATCAACTTGCATACTGCGCAGGTCCAACTTGCAGACTGCGCATGTTCAACTTGCATACTGCGCAGGTCCAACTTGCATACTGCGCAGGTCCAACTTGCATACTGCGCAGGTCCAACTTGCATACTGCGCAGGTCCAACTTGCATACTGCGCAGGTCCAACTTGCATACTGCGCAGGTCCGACTTGCGTACTGCGCAGGATCAACTTGCATACTGCGCAGGACCAACTTGCATACTGCGCAGGTCCAACTTGCAGACTGCGCAGGTTCAACTTGCATACTGCGCAGGTCCAACTTGCATACTGCGCAGGTCCAACTTGCATACTGCGCAGGTGCAACTTGCATACTGCGCAGGCCCAACTTGCAAACTACGCAGGTCCAACTTGCAGACTGCGCAGGTCCAACTTGCATACTGCGCAGGTCGAACTTGCATACTGCGCAGGTTCAACATGCAGACTGCGCAGGTCCAACTTGCAGATTGCGCAGGTCCAACTTGCATACTGCGCAGGTCCAACTTGCAGATTGTGCAGGTCCAACTTGCATACAGTGCAGGTCCAACTTTCAGACTGCGCAGGTCCAACTTCCAGACTGCGCAGGTCCAACTTGCAGACTGCGCAGGTTCAACTTGCATACTGAGCAGGTCCAACTTGCATACTGTGCAGGTCCAACTTTCAGACTGCGCAGGTCCAACTTGCAGACTGCGCAGGTCCAACTTGCATACTGCACAGGTCCAACTTGCAGACTGCGCAGGTCCAACTTGCAGACTGCGCAAACCCAACTTGCAGACTGCGCAGATCCAACTTGCATACTGCGCAGGTCCAACTTGCATACTGCGCAAACCCAACTTGCACACTGCGCAGACCTAACTTGCATACTGCGCAGGTCCAACTTGCAGACTGCGCAGGTCCAACTTGCATATTGCGCAAACCCAACTTGCAGACTGCGCAAGTCCAACTTGCATACTGCGCAGACCCAACTTGCAGACTGCGCAGGTCTAACTTGCAGACTGAACTGATCCAACTTGCAGACTGCGCAGACCCAACTTTCATACTGCGCAGGTTCAACTTGCATACTGCGCAGGACCAACTTGCAGACTGCGCAGGTCCAACTTGCATACTGCGCAGGACCAACTTGCATACTACGCAGGTGCAACTTGCACACTGCGCAGATCCAACTTGCATACTGCGCAGGTGCAACTTGCAGAGTGTGCAGATCCAACTTGCATACTGCGCAGGCTCAACTTGCAGACTGCGCAGGTCCAACTTGCATACTGCGCAGGTCCAACTTGCATACTGCGCAGGCCCAACTTGCAGACTGCACAGGTCCAATTTGCAGACTGCGCAGGCTCAACTTGCATACTGCGCAGATCCAACTTGCATACTGCGCAGGTCCAACTTGCATACTGCGCAAACCCAACATGCATTCTGCGCAGACCCAACTTGCAGACTGCGCAGGTTCAACTTGCAGACTGCGCAGGTCTAACTTGCATACTGCGCAGGCCCAACTTGCAGACTGCACAGGTCCAATTTGCAGACTGCGCATGTCCAACTTGCAGACTGCGCAGGTCCAACTTGCATACTGCGCAGGTCCAACTTGCAGACTGCGCAAGTCCAACTTGCATACTGCGCAGGTCCAACTTGCAGACTGCGCAGGTCCAGCGTGCATACTGAGCAGGTCCAACTTGCAGACTGCGCAGGTCCAACTTGCAGACTGCGCAAGTCCAACTTGCATACTGTGCAGGTCCAACTTGCAGACTGCGCAAGTCCAGCGTGCATACTGCGCAGACTCAACTTGCATACTGCGCAGGTCCAACTTGCATACTGCGCAAGTCCAACTTGCATACTGCGCAGGCCCAACTTGCAGACTGCGCAGGTCCAACTTGCATACTGCGCAGGTCCAACTTGCAGACTGCGCAAGTCCAACTTGCATACTGTGCAGGTCCAACTTGCAGACTGCGCAAGTCCAGCATGCATACTGTGCAGACCCAACTTGCATACTGCGCAGGTCCAACTTGCATACTGCGCATGTCCAACTTACAGACTGCGCAGGTCCAACTTGCATACTGCGCAGGTCCAACTTGCAGACTTCGCAAGTCCAACTTGCATACTGCGCATGTCCAACTTACAGACTGCGCAGGTCCAACTTGCATACTGCGCAGGTCCAACTTGCAGACTTCGCAAGTCCAACTTGCATACTGCGCAGGTCCAACTTGCAGACTGCGCAAGTCCAGCGTGCATACTGCGCAGACCCAACTTGCATACTGCGCATGTCCAACTTACAGACTGCGCAGGCCCAACTTGCAGACTGCACAGGTCCAATTTGCAGACTGCGCATGTCCAACTTGCAGACTGCGCAAGTCCAACTTGCATACTGCGCATGTCCAACTTGCAGACTGCGCAGGTCCAACTTGCATACTGCGCAAGTCCAACTTGCAGACTTCGCAAGTCCAACTTGTAGACTGCGCAGGTCCAACTTGTAGACTGCGCAGGTCCAACTTGCATACTGCGCAGGCCCAACTTGCAGACTGCGCAGGTCCAACTTGCATACTGCGCAGGTCCAACTTGCAGACTGCTGAGTAGTAATGTCTGAGGATCTCACTTTCAAGGATCACAACAGTGCCACGATCACAAGTACAAAGAAAATGATAGGATGGATAATGAGAACGTTCAAAACGAGAGATGCCAAGCCAATGATGATCCTTTTTAAATCACTTGTTCTCTCTAGGCTGGAATACTGCTGTACATTAACATCTCCGTTCAAATCAGGTGAAATTGCAGATCTAGAGAGTGTACAGAGATTCTTTACTGCACATATAAGTTCTGTCAAGCACCTTAACTACTTGGGAACGCTTGGAAGCAGTTGACTTGTACTCGTTGGAACGCAGGAGAGAAAGATATATCATAATCTACACTTGGAAAATCCTAGAAGGAATGGTCCGGAATCTGCACACAGAAATCACTCCCTACGAAAATAAAAGATTGGGCAGGCGATGCAAAATACCCCCAATTAAAAGCAGGGGCGCCATTGGTACACTAAGAGAAAACACCATAAGTGTCCGGGGCCCAAGACTGTTCAACAGCTTCCCACCAAGCATAAAGGGAATTACCAATAGGCCCATGGCAGCCTTCAAGAGGGAGCTGGACAGATACCTAAAGTCATTGCCGGAGAGAGTAGCAATCTGGGAGTGAGAGTAGTGATCTGGGAGGGAGAGTAGTGATCTGGGAATGAGAGTAGGAATCTGGGAGTGAGAGTAGTGATCTGGGAATGAGAGTAGGAATCTGGGAGTGAGAGTAGTGATCTGGGAGAGAGAGTAGTGATCTGGCAGAGAGAGTAGTGATCTGGGAGAGAGACTAGTGATCTGGGAGTGAGTAGTGATCTGGGAGTGAGAGTAGTGATCTGGGAGAGAGAGTAGTGATCTGGAGTGAGAGTAGTGATCTGGGAGTGAGAGTAGTGAATCTGGGAGTGAGAGTAGTGATCTGGAAGTAAGAGTAGTGATCTGGGAGTGAGAGTAGTGATCTGGGAGAGAGAGAGTAGTGATCTGGGAGTGAGAGTAGTGATCTGGAGTGGGTATGATCTGGGAGTGAGAGTAGTGATCTGGAGAGAGAGAGAGGGAGTGATCTGGGAGTGAGAGTAGTGATCTGGGAGTGAGGTAGTGATCTGGGAGTGAGAGTAGTGATCTAGAGAGTAGAGGAGATGAGTGATCTGGGAGGATGAGTAGTGATCTGGGAGTGAGAGTAGTGATCTGGGAGAGAGAGAGTAGTGATCTGGGAGTGAGAGTAGTGATCTGGGACAGAGAGAGTAGTGATCTGGGAGTGAGAGTAGTGATCTGGGAGAGAGAGAGTAGCAATCTGGGAGTGAGAGTAGTGATCTGGGAGGGAGAGAGTAATGATCTGGGAGTGAGAGTAGTGATCTGGGAGAGAGAGAGTAGCGATCTGGGAGTGAGAGTAGGGATCTGGGAGAGAGAGTAGTGATCTGGGAGAGAGAGTAGTGATCTGGGAGAGAGAGAGTAATGATTTGGGAGAGAGATTAGTGATCTGGGAGTGAGAGTAGTGATCTGGGAGTGAGAGTAGTAATCTGGGAGAGAGAGCAGTGATCTGGGAGTGAGAGTAGTGATCTGGGAGTGAGAGTAGTGATCTGGGATGAGAGTAGTGATCTGGGAGAGAGAGCAGTGATCTGGGATGAGAGTAGTGATCTGGAGAGAGAGAGTAGTGATCTGGAGTGAGAGTAGTGATCTGAGTAGAGTGGAGTAGTGAATTGGGAGTGAGAGTAGTGATCTGGGAGTGAGAGTAGTGATCTGGAGTGAGAGTAGTGATCTGTAGAGAGTGAGAGTAGTGATCTGGGAGTGAGAGTAGTGATCTGGGAGTGAGAGTAGTGATCTGGGATGAGAGTAGTGATCTGGAGTGAGAAGTAGTATGGAGTTGAGAGTAGTGATCTGGGGTGAGAGTAGTGATCTGGGAGAGAGAGTAGTGATCTGGGGAGGAGAGTAGTGATCTGGGAGTGAGAGTAGTGATCTGGGAGTGAGAGTAGTGATCTGGAGAGGAGTATGACTGGAGTGATCTGGGAATCTGGAGTGAAGAGTAGTGATCTGGGAGAGAGAGTAGTGATCTGGGAGTGAGAGTAGTGATCTGGGAGTGAGAGTAGTGTTCTGGGAGAGGAGTAGTGATCTGGAGTGAGAAGTGATGGAGAGAGAGTATGATCTGGGAGTGAGAGTAGTGATTGGGAGTGATTGGAGAGGAGTAGTGATCTGGGAGGAGAGTAGTGACTGGGAGATGAGAGTAGTGATCTGGAGAGAGAAGATGGATAAGAGTGATCTGGGAGTGAGAGCTAGTGATCTGGGAGAGAGAGTAGTGATCTGGGAGTGAGAGTAGTGATCTGGGAGTGAGAGTATGATCTGGGAGTGAGAGTAGTGATCTGGGAGTGAGAG